GTAAAGAGAATGAGTGGAAACATAAGACACCACTAACTGTACAAAATAATTATATTAGCATCCTCTGAATTTACAGCATTATGATTGATAGAGAAATCGACCAGACATAATTGCGAAAGATCATGTTGAAAATACATGTCTGTTGCTAGATATTGCAGCTCCAGCAGGCAAAGGCATAACTTTGAAAATGTTTGAGAAACTAAGCAAATACAAGAACCTCGAGATAGAAATCAGTAGAATGTGACATCACAAGACAATACGATTACCTGTTGTTATTGGAGCTTTGTGAATGATATCAAAAGGAACAGAGAAATATTCGGGTCAAATTCCAGGTATCCCTAAAATATAGGAATTGCCAAAAAATCATACTCGTCGGTATTTCTCACAAATTGCGTAAATTTCTCCCCATATAGAGACTTACGGTCACACTACGTTGAATCGCCGGTTTCCGTACGATCAATGAAGTTAAGCAAGTTGAACCTGGTTAGTTTTTGGTTTGTTGACAGCTTCGGAATACCAGGTGCTGTAAGCTTGGATGTGTGAGTTGTGTAATGGATAACAGCTCGGAATTGACGCTCTGATTTCCAATTCTAGTTCGGTTCGTTATATTCACTTACGCGCAAATACCCTTGGGAAAAGGTATGAATCCACCTCTTCTCCCCACTGCTATGGGTTAATAAGTAAGACTTGCACCAATAAATCATTATTATCTATTAAAAAAAGAAAGAAAAAACATTCTTACAATCTAAAAATATTTTCTGGTAAAGGGTTGATAAACCATAGAAAACGATCAATCAAACAATCACTGAAGGCATTTCTAATTGGGTCCGACCTGCAAGTATATACGCTGACTTTATCAAAATCCCTCACAAATCGCGCACATTTGGCCAGTGTGCATGTGCCTGGTATGAACTTATCAACCTACCTGTTTGGTTGGGTAAACTGAGTCGTGTATAATTTGTACTTTGTTGTCTCAGTATAATAATAATAATAATAATAATAATGTTCTCACATGTACCGCCCACACCTTACGAAAGGCTTTATCTATGTAAAATATGTGTGATTTTCTTTTTCAAAACTGCTAAGTGAAAAATGTCATGATGTCATTTCTGACCTTGGGTCGATGGTCGGGACCCGAAAACAAATGAATATACACCAGAAATCAAAGGAAATAATAATAATAATAATAATAATAATAATAATAATAATAAATAAAATAATTGACATAACTCTTTCAATGACGCGTTCATTACCAGTACAGCTGTTTTTTCATTACAAGACAGGCAACGTTTGTACAAAGACTTATAATTTTTTGTAGAGTTATATATTTTTGTATTTGAAACATTTTTGAAGACAAACATTCTGTTGAAATCTTGACTAACATTGTTGAACACAATGCTTTTTATTTTCTTAAATCGTGCTCGTCTCTTAACTGTTAATACTACTACTACTACTACTACTACTACTACTACTACTACTAATAATAATAATAATAATATATCCTGGATACATGGTACAAACAGCACCCGAATAAGATCACTAATGATCATGGAGTGACTATACTGCTGAATTTCTCAATTCTCACAGACGGGACAATTGATGCAAATAGACCAGTCATAGTGATAAAAGATTTCAAAAAGGAACCTGCCAACTAATTGATTTGACTTGCCAAATGGATTCCAATATGCCTAAAAAAGAATTTCAAATCTGTCAAATCATAAGGAACCTGTAAATCGAAATAACAAACATGTGAAATCTTAAAAATATGATTATCCCTGCTGTTGATAGGGGAATTGCGTATGATAAAGGAGAGAATCAAAAATCCTGTGAGTGAAATTCCTGGACGCGTCAACACCTTCGAGCTACGAAATGGTATTGTGTAGAATTGCACAGATCATCGGCAAAAATCTCTTCATCTAAACGAAACGTCCCAAATGTCCATAGTATCTTTTTTACTCATGGACCCCGAAGTGGATTTAGTAATATGTTACTCTCTGGCAAGATGATATCACGAATTTCTTAAAACAAAACAAAAAAAAAAAACACACCTTAAAATGATGTATGTATAGTTTTTAAAGTCAATAGCTACAGTGTCAATAGCTACAGTGTATTTCCTTTTATTTTGACAATAATCACTTAAGTATAAAAAAATATCATACAAGAGCATGATATTTTGTTTTCGTCAAAAAAAACTACCACCTGTCTTAAATACTGCTTTATAAATTCTTGGCATTCTTTCCAGTAGTCTTTAGAAAAAAGTAAATGGCAGACCTTCCCAAGTATTCTTTAAGCTCTGAAAAAAGTTCACTCTCACTGTTCGAGTATTCTCTTCGAAATCTCCTATATAATTCATCTCATTCTAATTCAATGGGAGAGAGATCAGGAGATTGAGGCGGCTAAAAAATAATTTCCAAAATTTCCTTCGTTTTTTTTACCTTAAGGTAATTTTAATATAATTTAGAAAAGAACTTTAGATCGTTGTATTATTGAAAGGTGAATATTTTTCCCCGCTTATGCGTAAACCAGATAATAGGGTATGTCTTTGCAAATCTTACTGATATTGTTCTTCTTGCATGATTCCCTTAACCTGTATCAAATCTCCAGACCTTTTGGTAATCTCAAATGGTCTACTGAGGGATTTTGATGGCGGAAACAAAATATAATGTTTCTTATACAAAATGTTCATGATTCTGGATATATTGCAAACAGATGAATTCAAATTTTATTTTATTTTGTAGTAAGAGGAGCCGGGATAAAGACTGAAAAATAAAACTAAATACACTCTAGTTAATAAAATTTTATCTTTTACTTACAAAATATACAAAAATATCTCAAATTCAGGTGATTTTTTTTAAAGAAATGCCAGGTTTCCCGAAACTTTTTGCCTGTAGTGTAATTGTTTAAAGATGTAAGAGGGTACAAATGAAAAGATTGATAATTGACAAGTTTGTCATTTTAACGAAGCAGCCGTTAAACACATGAAAGTGTTATCGCCTCCTCTATCTTGCTTTTCTTTCTTTCTTCCTCCATTTTTTTCTTTCTTCCTCCCTTTCTTTCTTTCTTTCTTTCTTTCTTTCTTTCTTTCTTTCTTTGAGACGAAACAGAACCTTTGCTATATCTTTTCTCCCGTCTATCCTCTCAAACAAACAGGAATGGTGAATTGTTTATCCGAGGTAATGACAGGACTATGTACGTGCTTCATAACTAAGGAACAAGCAAAATTATAATGTGATAATTGAAAGTTTAAATATTGAAACTCTTCAGAATACATCAGGACACTGAGAAAGTTGCCGGATAATTGAAGAGACTTGCTGCCACTTGGTCTCCAACGAAACCTATTCAACATCTCGAGTGAATATGTAAATTCATAAAGTCTGTTGATACTGATAAGGAAAGCAAGGAATGAAATATTTATGAAGGAAACAAAATTAGCAGAAATAAGAACACAAGACCATCTAACCATATGTATCGACACAAAATATAAAACCACAAGAAAATATCAGATGTTGTAACAGAAAAAGAAAGAGCTCCGCATATCTTAGCTAAGAAAGGTGGGTTAAAGAAATACCAATATAGAATTCTGCTACGATGTAAGTCTTAGTTTCTGGTTCAGTCAAGTGAAAAGGAAATGGAGATCAGAATTTGGCAAGCCTGGAGCATTCTGAACAAAAATAGGGAGGGTATAGATGTGGAATTTCCAGAACCGTTGAAAAATAAGTTTCTTTCGAAACCACAGTGGAAAGCATACTGCTCTCCGGCACTGAAACCTGGACTTTAACAAAGATGAGTGATAGGCTTGACGGAACATGTACGAGAATGCTTGTGGCTATATTTGGCGTATTATGGAAGGAACACAAACAAGGGTCACTGGAGAAAACTGTAAAATGTGACGAAATCACTACAGATTGGAAAACTGTTATTCATTGGTCATATTTAGATGAGGATAGAAAAAAAACTGTTAAGTAAAGCATACTAGCAGGAGCTTAAACGAAGGAAAACGAAATCGATTAAAACAGGTTAAGAAATTCGAATCAGTCAGTCAGTCCGGGAACAAAATTCCTCTTTCAATCTAAATATTAAAGGGAGTTGAGTAGACTCCTTCATCCAGTGACGGAGAAATCAAAATGGAAAAACCCGAGTTCGAATTCGGATTTTTTTTTAAATCACTTCGCCTTAAGTCGAAAATGCTACTAAGAAAGCTATGAATCCACCTTTTCTCCCACATCCAGTTATGGGTTAATGAAATAATGATAATAAGAACTTCAGCCAACATTATGAGGGCCGGTGAATCAATCAGTCTAAACCTTGGACTAAAAGCAACAATGATAAAGATATTAGTATAAATGATTCGTAGAATAAGGAAAAGCTTTCATTTCAGAAGGCTGGAGAGCGTATCGATCATAATGTTTTGATAAACAACAAAGATACCGATATTACACCGAATAATCAAGTGCATAACGAAAATAGTCCATCTCAGAAATTAAAAAAAAAATACTATGATCGTCGGAGTGTGCATCGGTTTAAATGATATGACATAATAAAAACAACAAGGATAAAGATACTGGTCTGAATACTTCATGGAATGGTGAAAATACATTAGCCAGCTTTCATTAACAGTTTTCTGTTTAACAGAATGCTTTGAATTTCACTTTTTTTTTCGCGAGAAAGAGAGAAAGATATAGAGAAAAACTTTTAAATAGTTTTAATCCTCTAGATTATTCAAGTGGAATATCTTAGAATGTTTTAAAAATGTTATCAGTAGTTATTTTTATTCTAAAAAAATACAAACAGGACATTCTGTAATTGCTATTCGTGCAAGAAGATTTTCGCCATGACAAGAGGTAAAACATTGATAAATTCGCAAAAAGTAGTGATTGTTAAGCTGTGGAAAGAGATAGAAAGGCAGAGGGAGAGAAATAAAGTGAGAGAGGGAGAATGAGAGGTAAAGGAAGACATGGATATCAAATGAGAGAAAGAAAGTGGGACAGAAAGAAATGAGGTTAAAGAAAACGAAAGAAAGAGAAGGAAGAAAGATAATGAGAAGTTAGAGAGGTAAAAGAGGGAAAGAGAGAGAGAGAGAGAGAGAGAGAGTCAGGAAGAAAGACAACTAGATAAAAAAATTGAGAAAGCAACCAAGAAAAAAGAAAGAGATAAAAGCGAAACATAAAGAAAGAGAGAGAGAGAGAGAGAGAGAGAGAATGAATGAAAGAAAGAAACATAAAGGAAGACAAATAAAGAGAAATGAAAAAAGAGAGAGAGACAGAGAAAAAGAGATAGATAAAGGAAGTGAAAGAACAAGTAGAGAGAGAGAGAGAGAGAGAGAGAGAGAGAGAGAGAGAGAGAGAGAGAGAGAGAATAGGAATAGATAGGTTCGTCTATCGTCCGGTTCTTATCCTTCCCCGGTTTTTGAACAAGTTTAGCAGCTGTTTCCTGTTTAGATTTTTGTTTCCGGTTCCTTCTAAAGTCTTCTCGCTTTCTTTCACTCCGATTAGCCATTTTGTATCTTTGTGGTCTTGCATAGAGTGAACTGATTACAAAAAGAAAAAAAAAATGAATGAGAAGTAAAGAATTCTTTCTTTACTTCGCATTCAATCAAAAGATCAAAAGAGTAAGGGAAACCGAAAGAGCGATAGAGAGAGAAAAGAGGTAAAAACAAACAAACAAACAAAAAAAAAAACAAGGAAGAGAGATAGAAAGAAAGAGAGACAAAAATAAAAATAAGTAAAGAATGAAAGAGAGAGAATGCGAAGAAATTAATAGATAACAAAGAGAAAGAAAAAAATAGATAGATAGATAGATAGATAGATAGATAGATAGATAGATAGAATAAGAAGATTAAAGAAAGAAGGAGAATGAGAAGACAGGATAAAAAGGGAGAAAGAAAGAGAAACAGAAAGGAAGGCATAACGATAGAAAGAAGAGACAAAATGAAAATGAGGTAAAAAAGAAAAAAAAAAGAAAAACAAAAACACACACAAACACAACAACACACACACACACACACACACACATATATATATATATATATATATATATATATATATATATATATATATATATATATATATATATATATAAATGAAAGAGAGGGGTTCAAAACAAAAATCGAACAGCAACTTTGAAGTAAGAAAATCAAAATGAAAAATAAAAAGAAGACTTATTTATCGAAATCAAATTTAGTTTTTAGATGATTTTCAAGTCTTGATACGGAGCCAACGCCCAGGGGTCGTGATGGCTTTATCAGTATATACGAGAGCTCACTTGCTGCCTACATGATGAACATCGTTGATTCGAGGGTGAACCAAGTCGCTTGTCTTTTAGATTGGCACCTGCACTGGGCATATTTTCAAGGTGTCCTCGCCCGCAATCAGAGATAAAGATCCAATTGGCAAAAAAAAAAAAAAAAAAAAATACAACTTGTTTTCATCATACTGGCAAGGAGTTTGATATTGGATGAGATATGCAGATTTTTTGGAAGGAGAAAAGCGAACAATTTTCAAAGTCCATAATTGCGGTATAACTATCTTTACATCAGTCCTTCTCGCGTCTCTTTCTTTGTCTGTCTGTCTGTCTGTCTCAGGTTCGTCCTAAGAACAGCTTCCTTATGGAACAGAATCCCGAGAGGATGCTTTCTCGATCACGACAATCTTAATCACTTCAAGTCTAGAGTTAACCGTTATCTTTTCTACATATCATTTACTACTTCATTTCACTAACCCTCTTCTGTGAGTGACTCTTGAGCCTTATATTGATATTGGATGAACATTTAATATATATATATATATATATATATATATATATATATATATATATATGTGTGTGTGTGTACATGTGTGTGTGCGTGTGTGTATGTGTGTGTGTGTGTGCGTGTTTATGTGTGTGCAAATATATAGAAAATAGGAAAGAAACACGTTAGGTAAATAATCCGAAGTTCTTTAGCATTTTTGTATATATATATATATATATATATATATATATATATATATATATAGAGATAGAGAGAGAGAGAGATAGATAGATAGATAGATAGATAGATAGAAAGAAAGAAAGAAAGAAAGAAAGAAAGAAAGAAAGAAAGAAAGAAAGAATACGATAAAGTAATGGATAGCGGCGGCTTGGATTGAGAAACCGGAGAGCCGAGTTCGAATTCCAGTCGAATCCATTACATTCACTTAGTTCTAATACCTTTGGGAAAGGTGTAAAGCCTCTTCTTATCCCTCCAGCTATGGGTAAATAGCAGGGTTCTATAGCCATATACATTGGATTGCAACTGGACTAAGAGAAGGACAACTCTGAATTCAAAACCTGCGAAGGGTCGTTTGGGGACCTTGTGGCACGTAGTGCACCAGGTTTCTGTATTCAACCCTTCAAAAAAGATGCAACTGGTCCTGCACGAAGCCTTCACCACTTTAATCAAATCTCATGTGCTATTGTCAGGCTGTCGGTTTCCTGGAACTGATCTGCTTGAACCTCGAATTCGACAGGAGAGTATATATATATATATATATATATATATATATATATATATATATATATATTATACTACAGTTTAAAAGTTTGAAGCCGTCCTATCTACCTCAGCTCGGAATTAACATTAACCATTCCCGAAGGCATAAGCCATAGTTAATCATAAGCCTTCGTAAACTACTGTCATTGAATAAAAAGGGCGTTACTTTTGCAGCATCTTATATATATATATATATATATATATATATATATATATATATATATATAAAAGTCATCCACAGACAGACTGTTTCATATATATATATATATATATATATATATATATAGTTATTTATTTTCTACTGATATCCTTTGCATGTTCATGTTGCAGGACGCCTGTTTTTAAGCCCATCTTTAATTTAGTGTAGATGAGATTTCATTATTTATCATCTCTCAGTTGCATCTCTGTCTTTGGGCAGTGTGCACTCAGTGGAAGCTCTGTCAAAAGACAGAGTCGCAACTGAGGAAAATTATACTGAGAGGTGCCCAGTCCTGGGGAACAGCTGCCGGAGACCGCGCCTTCTCATTGCACCAGACAGAGGGATCGGTGCTTGCAACCGAGGTCAGTGCAACCGACGGTTGCCGGGGCTGCGGGCAATTTTTTTTTCCTGGCCCGGGTGTACATTTCCCCTTCAAATCATAAAAAAAGACCTTAGTCACAACTCGTTTTAGTGGGGAGACAGAGTAAATACCTAGTGTGTAAACCGGTCTTTGGAAGGGTTTTTAACACATCTATTTATCATCTCTGAGTTGCGTCTCTGTCTTTGGGCAGAGTGTGATCAGGGGCGATTCCGTCAAAGGACAGAGTCGCAACTGAGGAAAATTATACTGAGAGGTGTCCAGCCCTGGGGAACAGCTGCCCGAATCTACGCCCTCTCATTGCATCAGAGGGGGGGGGTCGTTATTCGCACCAAGGCCAGCGCAACCAACGGTTGCGGGGGCTGCGTGCAATTTTTGTTCCTGGCCCGGGTGTACGCGCTCAGGTCTCCACCTTAAAAAACTGACCTTGTATCAGAACTCGTCTTAATGAGGAGACGGAGTAAATACCTAGTGTAGAGGAGATTTTATTCTCACGTTTGGCCTGCAGCCACCTTTTCTTCCCTCAGTTATGAGCCATTTAGCAGAAACTTGGATCAGTAAATCATTATTTTCTCCAAAAATTTCTTACAGTTTAAAAATAGATTTCTGGCTTTAAATAACCGGCAAAAGGGTTGATAAGCCGTAAAAATGAATGAATCAATCAAACTTATCTCCCATACAATATTATCCTGACACTATACTTAATTAATAGGACTTGTATCAGTAAAATTATTATTACCTCCAAAAATATTTTCTGGTTTTAAATAACCGGCAAAAGGTTGATAAGCCGTAAAAAATAAATCGGTCTATCTGACTGTAAAATCTAGATTTACTCGAGAACGCGTACACGCACAAACACAAACAAGATTATACAGGCATACATGCGTATACAGTTTTTTTTTTATGTCAATGTATATATATATGTTTGTGTTTCACGCGCATGCAACAATCTTTCTTTTTGACTTAGGTGCAAAGCGATTTAATAACCTTCAAATATTTGCCAATTGCAGGAGCTTTCAGAGCTCCACCACCCATCCTGTACCATTACGGCCATCACCACCACTTTTACCGTTACCAACACCACCCGTCCCTAAAAGCATTTGGCTTCAGTTAAATACAACAATCACATCTAGGCTTTGTAATAAAATAAAACAAAATAAAAAGCGGATATTTTTTGAGAAAGAGATAATGAATTTTTGATGGAATGGAAGTAAATGGGAGTAAGCTAAAAAGATGAGGGAGAAGGGGACTGCTCAAAAGTTTTGGGTTATCGATTCGTTAAAATTCGATGTGAATTCTTTGCTATCAGTTTCTTTTCTCGCCTGTGGAACTCTCTTCCGGCTTCTTGCTTTCCAGCCAACTTTGATCTTCAAAAATTTAAATGCAATGTCAATCGTTATCTACTGTCTTCTTGATTCCTCTTCTTTTTTTTTTATTGTTCCCGCTCGTTAATAATGTTTCTTTTTTTTTTTTTGTCTTATTCTTCACACTCAATAACCTCCTTGTGCCTTAGTGGTTTTATTGTCTTGCTTCGGGTGAAATGATTAAAAAAACTGAATAGAAAGAAAAGGAGAATCGAAATTATAATACGATAGGAAAAAGAAGTCAAATAAATAAATGAAAGGAGAAAAAAAAAGAGAACAATAAAAATGGGTGGAGTTTTACAGGGTGCGGCAAAAATACCTCCCACGTTTTAATCTTTCACCTCTGTGGTGTTAAGGAACTTTAGCAAGCGACGATGGTTGTCTTCATTTACATAATGTCTTATAATTTTTTTTTAGATCCCCTCATGGCTTGGACCAGTGCACCTCGTGCGTTTCCTGTTGAAACGTTTTTTAAGACTGATGACCACAGAGCTTTTCGTGCTAATTTTATGTTACGTCGGAAGGATGCTCTTCTAGATAGAAAATCGATACTGCTACAGGTTAAAAATTTCAGGGTCACAGAGTCAGAACTTAAAAGAAAGTCACCTGGAAGATTTCGAATTGGTGATGGAAAACTTTAAAAATCGTCTACAACAGTGTATGGCAAATAGAGACTACCACTTGGAGCATGTCATTTTCAAAACCAAATGAATAAAATCAGATGTTTATTTGAACAACAGTGAAATCATTTTTAATAGCAGTGAACTGGGTCTTTTTATCAACTTTAAAAAGTGGGATATATTTCTGCTGCACCCTGTATAATAGGCACTGAGTCCAGATTTTTTTTTGTTTATATGTTGTAGAGTAGTTCTCACAGTAGAGGCTTGTATTTCGCTAAGTCGGTCCTAAAAGGGTCCGATGTACAAAACGTTAGGAACTTGAAATAAGAGTTAATGACGCAGCAATCTAGTTGTGATGGTTGATACTTCAATGTTCGACATCAGCTGACTCACTCAACTCCACTGATCTCAACTGGCCACTGCTACTACTACTGTGGGAGAGTCTATTACAATAGAATAGGTAATGTTCCGGTATAACATTATATCTATAGTTTAAACCATCCAGATCATAAATATTAAAAATAAAAATTATTAAATTTAAAAAAAAAAATTATAAGGGATTCAGCTTCCTATGTAAATTAATTGTAATTTGGAAGCCAAAACCAGACGACCAATCAGTAGTTAACTGGACCAAGAAATGGCATGTAAATTTTAACGTTTCTGCAACAAAACTGCTTTCACTTAACCACCATCAGGAACAATTTCTGCCATCAGCATGGCTCACGCTAGATTCCAGGAGAGCAACACACTGCGCCTTTTTGGTACGTTTTCTACTGACTTGAAGTGGATCGATTACATCGAATCAATAGCTGAATCTACTGCTAGGAAAGTTAGTTCACTGTGTCGTACCAGCCAAATCTATCTCGCACATGTACAAATCTACTATTCGTTTGCGCATTAAATACTGTTGCCATATCTTGTCTGGTAGTCGTGCTGTACCTCGAGATTCTAGACAAAATTCAAAGAAGGATCTCTAATATAATCGACCAGGACCAGGCATTTCGACTTCAGTCACTTTCCTACCGACGTGAGTTGGCTTCCCTCTGTCTTTTCTACAAATATTTTCATGGTAACTGGTCTGACGAGTGCCCTGAATACATAAGTTTAAGCGTGGCTCCTTTTACTATTGAAATAGCTAAAACAACAATTTCTTTGCTCGCACTTCCCACCTGTTTACATTCTTCCGTGGTATCCACAACGTTAAAAAATTAAAATGCAACATCAATCGCCATCTCCTGTCTTCTTGAAGTCCGTTCATCTTTTGCCCTTTCCCCAATCATCCCTATTCTCTGTCTTTTCTTTAACTTTCTCTCCTTATAACCCCTTTGCGTATTAGTGGCATTCCCGACTTGCTTGAGAATCAATTAACAAACATACAAATAAATAAATGGCAAACTTATTTGGGAAAAAAATCTGCCGCGTCAGAAACAGTGTTATAAACATATACAAACGAGAGTGTTACAGCAAGAATGTTGTGGTCCGACTTGTCAGATTTGATGCTGGAAACTTCCCTCTCCAAAAGGCAGTACCTGCTCCTATTTATAGCTGGGGGAGTCCATGCGTGCGTGGGTAAATTGCAATAACATATCTATTCAGGGTTTGATCGGCAATGATGGAATGTAACTCGTTTGATTTTTGTGTGGGTTCACTTCTTGCGACGGGTAGTGTAGTCTTTGATTCAGTGGAAATAAGGCGAGTAGCAAAGGGAAGAAATCTGTCCCATGCAGATGAACTAAAATCCGGAGCGATAAAAACTTGCGGAAGGTTGGAGAGCGCAACAATAACAAGCAAAATGTGGACAATAGCCTGTGTGTAAATAATTTGACTTACGTGCTAATACCCTTGGGAAAGATATAAATCCTCTTCTCACCCCCAGCTATGGGTAAATAGCAGGACAGACCGGGTTCTATAGCAATTATTTAGATGGAAACTGGTTTACCGCAGAAATAAATGGCTATTACTGCGGGAAAAATCTTCCTCGTCAGTCATTGTATAGAAAGATAAATGAATTTATCCAACGTGTATCACGCATGGCACATAATTGACTGATAGGGAAAATGTAACTTGTGAACAAGGAGTATCTGTTTTTTTTATTTTATGAACCGTGTCCCTTCAGGATGAGAAACTCATGGCTCTCCACAATTTCCTGTCCTTTGTAGCTTTTAATATTTTTTTGTCTCTTTATCTTTCTTAAACGTCGTTCCTTCATCCATTTACACACGCTTTTACTTCTTCTATGTGCCGTGTTCATTCAGGACTTTGGCGATCATGGCTCTCCACAATTTCCTGTCCTTTGTAGCTCTTAATAACTTTTGTCTTTTTGTTATTTTTTTCCTAAACTTCATTCCGCCATATATTTGCACATGCTCATTTTCTTCTTCTTCTGTCTTTTGTAACGCTTAGTAAAGTGTTTTTTTTTTATCCCACCTAATCTCTGTTCTCTCAACCATTAGCATAAGCTCGTTAGGTAGGCTGTACGTTGCTCTTTTGTGTCCCACTCACCTTCAATATATCCTGCCAGTGCCAAATTTTCTAAAGCCCTGTTTCCTCATTATGTGTCTTAGAAATTTCAACTGTCTCTTTCTGATGTTAACTGTCCCTTTTGCTTCCATTCTTTCTAAGAAAAAAAAATTAAAAATGAGCGGAGCTTAGTTCGTTGCTACAATGTTCAAACTGTAATCAACTCAGATTAAGCTATTTTGGAAGATCAAAACCTTGGTCACGTTGACTTTTGACTTCGTCAGCCATCGACGGTTTCCAAACAGTTCTGTTGACTTAATTTCAATCAAACGTCAGGATTAAACCGTGATATGATCTTCATGCACTAACCAAAGGGATTGGGATCATCTCCCCATTGGGATCATCTCCCCAACCGATTCTATCAAGGAGTCACCTCCCTGTCAAATTGATTAGACACCAATTATTTTACTGTAATGTTCACTAGAAAAACGAGACACCAGGATATTTTTGGTGTGCTAGTAAAATCCCAGCTTCCTACCTTAGCTTTTTAGTGCTATCAAATTAACTTTTCAAGAAAATTCCTATTCTAATCAAAGCCAGATATAAATTCACTATTGTTGTAACATTCTCGTTTTTATATGTTTGTATTACTGTTTCTGTTAATATATTTGTTTAACTCAATTCCCCTCTTGTGTCTTTATTTCTGGCCCTAACAAGGCCACAACAATATATATATATATATATATATATATATATATATATATATATAGTCTATATATCAAATTAACTTTTCAAGAAAATTTCTATTCTAATCAAAGCCAGAAATAAATTCACTTACTAGTAAAATTAAAAACAGTAACACTATCACAGTCTTCAATCAACCACTTGTAATTTGCCCTCCTTGGTAAATTACAATCATACGATTTTTCATTCCAGACACTTGCCAATTATAGATTCACTTACTTGTAAAATCCACGCCAGTAACTCTTTTACAGAAGGGCAGATCCATTTTGAAGCCGTGGTATTGCACTCAATATAAAAGTTGGTGTTTGACATGATAAATAAAGACACAAAATATTTTTTCCCAAATCATTACCGTTTTTTAAGGAAACGTGTTTAAATCTTAAGTTTAAGTTCAAAATCGTAGCACTGGAATTTCACCATGGTGATCAATGAAAGCCTTATAGGACAGTCTTATAAAATTTATAATTTACTGAAGCTTTACAACTTGTATATGAACAAGATTCGTGGCACAAGCACATTATTACTACATCATTGTGTCATCAAATAAGACCTTTATTTATTTCAAAGAGAAATTATAATGAACAATTTAGCTCTATTATGATGTAATATATAATACAGTGCAGTAGTTTTAATGTGATTTTCAATAAACAATCCAAATTTAAAACATTTTGTCTTATAATGTGTGCCCAGCACCATTATGGTGTTATATACAATTATATATAATTATGATTTAATGAATCTTATTCATTAAGTAGACTTTTTTTTGTAATATTTTACAATTTTTTACAGTATTTTTACTTACCAAATACAGTGATTCATAATTAAAATTCTGATTTTAATATATTTTCCATTCAATGTATTTAATACAAAAGACATCAATTTTATTTGAATTTATTCTTGAAATAGTGAAATTTTGAAGTTAGTTTGTAAGCAAAACCTCCGGAAACTAAATATTTCTGTAGATTTTTTAGACGGTATTTAAAACTAAATCCTCAAAAGATAATAAGAGCTATGAATCTAAATTTTGGTGTCAGTACTTACAACATGAAACCCCAGCAATTGCAATCAGTGCAATCTTGATTTTCTAAAAAGAAGTGAAAAATCAATCTGTCCTACTGTTACAGTTCGGAGGTCGACTCTTGTTGTTTCGATCAAGACAACATTAATTTATGAAATACTTTGTGTGTTGGTCGACGTCCCGTCCAAAAAATTATTAATTTATACACGAGGTAAAGGCCGGCCTATAGCTTGTTGTCCAATAAATTATTAATATTTGATATGCCTTTTTCCTTTCGTTCTTTCTTGGCTTACGGCCACATCACGTTGAAACACCGGTTTCCGTACGGTTACCGAAGTTAAGCATCATCGAGCCTAACCAGTATTTAGATGGGTGACCCCTGGGAATACCAGGATGAGATTCTGTAAGCTTGGATGTGCGGGTGGTGCAAATTGATAATGGTTCGGAATTGTTAATCGGAGAGCCAAGTTCCAATTCCAGCTGGATTTGTTATATTCACTTACACGCAAATACTTTTGGGAAAGTTATGAATCCACCTCTTCTCCCCACAGCTATGGGTTAATTAATAAGACTTGTCTCAATAAACTAAAAGTAAAATAAAATTCCGTATAAATTATTTTAGATTTCAAATTATTTAAATAATCCATAAGTGTTAGTATGCCGCTAAACAACCAACTAACTTTCTTTCTGGGATAGTCATAGGTTCGGT